GAAGTGGACAGGCCCCTGACGAGCGGCGCCCCGGCCACCTGCCGCCGCGAGTCGTCGCTCGCAGCCCGAGCCGCGCCTCTCTGGCTCGCTGGCCTCTGCTTTCGCAGAGGGCACGCGGTCCCAGGGCGGCGAGCGGAGGGCCCTGGGGCAGCCCCAGGGTAGCCCCAGGGTAGCCCCAGGGCCCCGTGAAGCGGCCCGCCGGTCTCCTCTCACATCCGGGCCTTGCAATTTTTTCACAACGGGCGCCTTCGCGCAGAATCGGGCCCTTGGATCCTCACAGATCGATCCGGCTCGAGATCGGGCGTTTTCGCCCAGTTTCGGGACCTGGGAGCCTCACAGATGGATCTGGCTCGAGAAAATGACGCAGAAAGATGGAGTCTGGGGCTCCGGTGGCGATTTTCTGGGATGTGTGTCGGCGACGGCAGATGCGAGCGTCCGTTGCTACAGAGGGCAGCCCCAGGGCACCGAGCGGAGGGCAGGAGCGAGCCCCACGGGCGGCAGCTTCCTGTCGAGGCGACCCCGGCCGTGGATTCTGACACCGCGCGGATCGTTCACCTTGAACGATCGGCGGCGTTTCGATCAGCAGATTAACTCTTATTGGCCGATGCTGGGCCACTGGCGGCATTCAACCTTGAACGCCCCAGGCTTGGTCGACGCGACACGAGCCTACCGCATTCACTAGTGAAACATCAAGGTGAGACTAGCACTGGCATGCTGCAGCACAGGCTTCATGTGGCAGCACCGTGAGCTGCGCTCCTGTAAACATGGGCGCGCCAACATGACCAACATGTGCGATTACGCCCTCGTCATCCACATGCAAGTCTGCGCTACAATGCGTTTACTCGGCGTCCCCGTTGGTGCCCTTGGCGCAGTACTGCAATGGGACACGGTGTCTGTTGCACGGGTTGTCCACATTCGGCTCACGTCAGCCTCATAGTGGCTTGGCACTTGCGACCTCCAAGTTGTGTGGCCCAGAAAGACTGAACACCATGCGCCGTTGAGTTGTATTGGAGTTCTACCTGGTTGGGGCACCAAGATCGACGCAGCCGCCCACTGGGTTCATGATATCCGTCCACGGCATGTTCCACATGTGGCCTGTGCAAACAAAGCTGTCCATGATCCACTTGGCAATTCACCACGTGAGTTCCATACAAAAAATGGAGCACGCTGGCAACATGGCTGAAGACCAGCGTAACAGCCTGCGTCTGCTATGGGCAATCTGAACATGCATTGATTTGTACTGCGTTTTCGCAGGTTGCTCGGCGCTGAGCACCTTGTCAAAGTGCCAGACGATGCGCCATACATTCTTCAAGTACCTTGCGATACCGATAAATTTCATAAACACCATCAGCATTGACACGAGGGTAGAGCAGATTCCGAGCCAGAGGGCATCCCGGGCGTCGGGGCACTGTTCACTGCCCGAACGCAGTGCGAAGCTATAGGTGACCTGGAAATGGATATGTACACCGCAAAAGCAAGCGCCATAGATCAGTACACGTGAAAAGGCACACCGCGTGACGTTGACTGCATCGTTAAGAAGCGTTCGCACTTCCCGGATGAGTGCACCTGTCATTTCCGTTGTAATAGGTTCCTCGTACTTCCGCAGTAACTCGTCCGCCTTCTTCCACTCATTCAGCTCCAGGCGCTGCATTTCCGACATGATACTCATGCTGCAACAATCTGCAATTCCGTCCAATACTGCGGACGAGGTTGCTTCTTCACCAACTAACGTGGTGCACCCATGCCGGTTACATACAGATTGTATGGTAAGTGGGAAGTCTTCGTCGGAGGGCTCGTAGTGGCCCATATTCCCGCACACAGGTCTGCCTTTGGGGCCTGTCAGGAACATCTTGCCACCTCTCCCACGCGCCTCAGACAGTCCGCCCTTGAAGCCAAGCCCCCAGGTCTCCCACTCGGTGATGTCTGCGACGATTTCCTCATGGGGCTCCATTCCCTTGACCTTCAACTCAAAACTCCTCCCCCAATCCATCCATCCAGCTGCCATGAGCACAAGTCGAGTTCACCTGCCACCGTCGGTGGTCGGCCGTCTTCCACCAGCGACGCGGCCAGTAGCTCACCACGCCGAAGGAGTAGTGGAGGATCTGGGCGAGGAGCATGACACTGAGAATGGCCGAAAGCGGGAAATACTCACGTATGAAAAAAACGATTGGCTAAGCGTCTCCTTCCAGACCTGGCCCACCACGTCCTTTTTTCTTTTGCTCACGAAGCAATAGAAAAAGTGCGTTCGCCTGGAGACGGCCGCACAAAGTAACGAAGCCGATCCCAAATAACCAAATGAACCATCTATTGAAATACCATATATCATTGGCCCTAGGGAAGCAATTCGTACGCAACAACAAATCGATCATCTGGACGGGCATACATGGCCTTCCTATCCGGCCGTCCTTGGACTGACTGCGCGCCTTGTCGGTGCACCATGTGATCGAGTACTTTGCGGTGTACACTTCGAGGCACATCAGGGTCAGGCAAGTGCCACCAGCCAGCCCAAACCACAATGTGGGGTAGGCCAGGTCGAGCTTGCCGCTAGCATGACTCCTTTTTCCTATCAGGAGGCCCAATACCATTAAACAACATCACGGATGCATGTATGACTAGACACCAAAGTGCTAGATCCACGACAGGGCCGACGCAATGCGCACGCCTGGCCTTCTTCTCTGCGACCTTCAATTTCAAGACATCTTCAACAAAGAACTCAAAGTATCCGAGTATATATGGTCGTGGCTCGATGCACTGGTCCTCAGGTGTGTCCACGAGAGGTGCTGTCGACCCCCCAGCTGGGTCCGATAGAACTTTACTTGTCTTCGCAGCACCCCTTCCTGCCGTCTCCACAGATACGTCAATGATAGGTGCTTCCACAGGAGGCGCTGCCGTCCCTTCACCGGGGTCCACGAGAGGACGGATCAAAATCAACAACACGGCAAGCGCTTGCAGCCTGAGCAAACTCGAGGGGGCCAGCCTGTCTGCCGCGGCGCCTGGCCCAGTCCCCGCGACGGGGCACACAGGTTGAGCCAAGCGGCCGCGGACCTGTCACGGGCATGAGCTGGGGCTCGCCACGCGGGGGAACAACTGTGCGAGGGGGGGTTCGTCCTGGACCAGGCTCGGGATGCGAATCCGGTGTGCGCCCTCGACTGTCTCTGGGGCTGCAACGGGGGATCCCCATCAACAGGGGGACATGCGACAGGAGCGGGGTGTGTGATGAGCCCATTGGAGCCTTGGGCCCTCTGGGGGACCTCCTGGGCCGTTTGGGGGCGCTCCTGGGGGCCTCTGGGGCCGTCGTGGACGCCGCGCGCAGGAAAACAGCGAATGTGATAGTAATATGCGTTTCCCTCAATGCATGGAACGACTTTTGCCTCTCTGGGCCCTCTTGGGGTCCTCTTGGTGCCGATTTGGGGCGTCTTGGGGGCCTCGTGGGCCGTTTTGATCCCATCCAGGACCGTCCAAAAACTACGTTGGCCCGTCTGGAACGTACTTGGAAGCTCCAGGGGTAGCAGAAGGGGAGGGGGAATGCGGGAGGAAATCGCGGCCTGCGGCCAGGGCCCGGTCGCAGAGCGCTCTGGCATGTGACCATGCAGTAGGCACGCAGTGCCCAGGTCCCTTCGGAGCCACTTGTGCTGATGAATACGGGGGCTCCCCGCGCGACGTTCTCCAGAAGCCAGAGGACGCCAAAACGGACCAAGAGGGTCCCAAGAGGGCCCCATGACGGTCCGGCCGAAGAGGCTAACACCACTGAAGCACCACAGGCTGTCTAAGATGTCAACGTACTTGGCGCTTCGATCTGAAGAGCTCCGAAGACGGCCCAAGACGCCTCCAAGATGGCCCCAGGACGGCCCAAGAGACCTCTAACAGGGCAGAAGAGGCTCCCAATACGGCCCCTGCACAGGCAGCAACCCAACCGAGTCGAACCGAAACGTGCGTCGGATCGGGACGAAGACGAGGGGGCAGGAAGGAGAGGGTTCGCGCATCACGGCCCGAGGGGTGTGCGCTCGCGGAGAGGGGCCAGGGAACGCAGCGAAAGCAGAGGGGGCCATGACCTCTGGGGGGCTCTCATGGCCGTGGCCGCGAGATCCACACGCTCCGAGGCCCTGCTGCCCGGAGAGAGCACCTTTGACGACACAACCCGAAGGAAGGTGCCCACGGTGCCTGCACGAATTCACATGCAGTCGGACCTCGCCACACGAATGGCAGCACAGACACACCCCAGGCGTCTCCTCTGCGCCGCCGCCTGGGTGCTCACCGCCACCCTGAGCGCTCCGACTGGGAGGGAAGAACCGGGCGAGGGAAGACAAGGACGAAAGGCCAGGCATTCGAAAGGCTGGAGGCTTGACAAGCGAATGTCCACAGCCCAGGTAATATCACAATATCATGTTCTGGATCAGGCTAGTTCTCTTCAGACTATGATATGCTCCTTTCCCCAAAAACGAGTGCTCTCAGGTGTCGTGTTGATGCATTGTGATGTTTCGATTTGTCTCAGTTATTTGTTTTTCAAAGACCTCCTGTTATCTAGACGTTCTCGTTGAGTAGTGCCCTACCGCAATATACCACCCCAGGGAGAGGAGGGATTCAGGAAGGGTGGAAGCATCAACGCCCCTCCTAGCCCAACCAAGCCCAGCTCAAGCCGACATTAAGCGGGAATGAGGGAGGGACGAGACAGTTCCCTTCATTAGTTATCCTCCTCTTCCCCATCTATTTGCTGGAGGGGCAGAGGAGACTTCGGAGCGATGGTCAGTTTGCGGATTGCGGAGAGAAGACGCAGGCAAAACAAATCTTCAGGACACACTGTATCGAAACGTCAACTGGATTCAGATGTCTTCCACAGTTTGGTGATAGGAGGAGGAGGGAGGAGGGATAAGGAGGTGCAAGGAGGGACAATCAGGGGAGGGAGGAGGAAGGGAGGTGGAGCAAGCAATGGGAAGGAGAGAACAGAGGAGGGCGGAGTTTGGGCCGCCACTGGCTGCAAACCACAGCCCGCTGCCGGAGCGAAACACTTTAGATGCTCGTTCTGGGGACCTTCCTGGAGTCACTCGCTCCACCGATTCGTCGATGCCGCGTCGAACGTCCGTCGAACTAGAGCCTACCTTTGTGGATGCCAAGACACTGGACACACTAACAATCCTATCATTGAATTGAAAGTGTGTTTGAAATGTGTAAAACATGTTCTAAAAATGTTTCAAACATGTTTGTACATGTTTGAAACATGCTCGAAACATTGTTTCAGACATCTGGAAATTATTTGGCAGCACGCTTCCTCTCCATGGATCGCCTTCCACAAGTCTGCCTTGAGTCGCTCTTGAGTCCAACTGATGTCGAGCCAGAAGATAGCCAAAGTCGACCCAGAGTCGAGCGGATCCGCGAGGTGGGCCCCGGGCAGGCCCCCCGAAACGAGCATCCGAACACTGGCCGGCCGCAGAGGTGTCCAGGCGCAAAGAGCGCGCCCCATCGCCCAGCGCGGCAGCTCTCACAACTGGACGCTTGAGATGGGTGGGGAAAAATGTTAGATGCTCATTCTGGGGACCTTCCTGGAGCCACTCGCTCCACTCGTGCGTCGAAGCTGCGTCGAGCCTGAGTAGAACCTGAGTCGAAGCTGAGTCGAACCTGGGTCGAATCTGAGTCGAATCTGTGTCGAACCTGAGTCGAACTTGAGTCGAACCTGAGTCGAACAGATCCATTAGGTGGGCCCCAGGAAGGTCCCCAAAACGAGCATCGAAGAATGGGCCCGATGCCCAGCAGCAAATGTTGTCAACACCAGCCGTGGCCGCTGTTGGGCAGGCGCCCTCGCACCTCAAGTGCGCAAGGCCCGCGGCGACACCAACAGCGATGCTTGCTCAAAGCAAGCAGGAACTGCTTGGAGATGGCCAGGCAGAATCCGCTCAAAATCGGTCCTCGCGCCCCTCCCAGATCCACTTGTGACGGTCCTGGGGCCGAAAGCTGCCCTGGGAGACCGAAAAAGGCAAAAAAGCTTCTCGAACCCAGCACCTCGAACCTGCCCACCCTGCTGGCCAGAACCAGGTGCTGGGCCACCTCAGACCCCAAGCCGACAACAAAGGACTGCTGTCGGACTTCGCACCCACTCTGCCCGCACCCGGAGGCGATCGCACCCATCACAGCCCGAGGGGCTCCCCTCTGAGAGGCCAGCGTCACAGCACGGGCCTCCCGACCCCGCGGGGGCGCGACGGGTCGTAGGACAGCACAGGGCGGACGGGCGGCCCGGGCAGGTCGTCGCTCTGCACGGACCACGTGTCTGCGTCGCCGGGGCGCTCGGCGCCGGCGCCGGCGCGGCAGTGACCGCTCACCGGGTGGGCGGCGCTCCCGTCCCCCGCCGCGCCGCCGTGGCTCATCCGCTCCGGCTCGGGCGCGCCGACTGCCTGGCCGCCACCGGCGCGGCAGTGACCGCTCACCGGGTGGGCGGCGCCGGCGTCCCCCGCCGCGCCGCCGTGGCTCATCCGCTCCGGCTCGGGCGCGCCGACTGCCTGGCCGCCACCGGCGCGGCAGTGGCCGCTCACCAGGTGGGCGGCGCCGGCGTCCCCCGCCGCGCCGCCGTGGCTCATCCGCTCCTGCTGCGGCGCGCCGACTGCGCGGGCTCCGGGGCAGGCTCTGGAGACGGGCAGGTAGGACTCATGCACCATCTGCGCCGACATGCAGCCTACCGCGATGGTGATGACGCAGTGCATGCCACGGTGGATGCTGTTTGCGACGTTGTGGCACGAGTTGCCGAGGCGCTGCGCGCTGTCGTCGAACTCCTGCGCGCCCTCCGTCTGTCCAAGACAGCAGCCCACCAGGCAGCCACTGCACTTGATGCAGCAGCCGGCGCAACAGAGGCACTGCGAAATCGAGCCGAAGAACGCCAAGCACTCGGCAACCCGAATCTCTGTGGGATCTAGACCCAGGCCGCGATCTTCGCGCTGAACCTCCCGAGAAACTTGGAACGCACACATCGTGCACAGGGTTGCCTCCGCACACAGGCACAACATGGGGTACTCCTTCTCGCCGTAAGTTCCTGCCGTAAACGTGAATGGCAAGCCGGGGCTACAATTCGCCAAGCAATAGGGCCCGTCCCGGCGCCCCTGGAAGCAGATGTATCGCGACATGTCATCGTCCAGTACGCGCCGCCGCACCCAGAACTGCACCAAGCAGGGAAGGCACGCGGAGAAACAGCAGACCAGCGGCTGCTTCAACGGTGCATCCTCCATCGAGACCGCCCACAGCGCGCCGCCGGCTTGCCCCTCGGCAGGGCAAAGGTAAACGAGCGGAAACGCCAGCGGCGACGCAAAGCACCCAGCTACCCTCCCGATGCACTCGCCGCACTCGGAGAAGTTGTCCGTGACGTCTGCCACCGTGGCGAAGAATGAGGAATCGACGCAACCTCCGCACCCCTGGCAAGTGCTGCAGCACCCGGCTGCCTTTTCAGCTTGGTCCACCAGCTCGCCCAGACCCGCAGCCCGCGCCGCCTGCCTGACCGCATCCATTGAAGCAGGGGTGCGGGGAGCCCGCTTGAGCAACATGGACTTGAGCCAGAATGGCTCTGCCGAGCCACCTCCCCTCGGCAGCAACTCTGCGACGGGCCATCGCCCTTCGGTGTCCGCACTGTGAAACCCAAGAGCCCTCGAAGATGACCATACCGAATTGATTTCAACAACGACCGATGCTCCCTGCGTGCGCCTGCCGTGTTCGTGTTCGCCTGTACCCCCTGGTGCGGACCCTACAGGTGGGAGGAAGCAGTGGGGAAGAAGAGAGAGAAGTGGGCCATGGGGGAGCACATTGGGACCAGGCGTGAAGGAGCACAGAGGAAGGACTCGAGGCAACAGAACTCTGGGGCGCCCTCGCCCTGTCCGTGGGCCCAGTTCCCTGGTGTCACCGCCCTGGAGGGCACCGTGGCCCGAAGGAACAAAATCCTCTGCCTTCTCCTCCTCCTCCTCCTCCTCCTCCTCCTCCTCCTTCTCCTCCTCCTCCTTCTCCTCCTCCTCCTGCTCCTCCTCCTCCTCCTCCTCCTCCTCCTCCTCCTCCTCCTCCTCCTCCTCCTCCGCTTCCTCCCCCCGCTCCTAGCCCTTTCGATCAGGGTCGGCGGCACCGGCCGTCAGGCCTCTCCAATCCTCTGGTTTGCGGCGCGCCCTGGGATAACGAATCCTCTGGCATGCCTGCTCTGCGGTGCACCGTGGCACGACTGCAGGTCGTACTGCAGATCCGAACATTCGTATCGCACATGCGCGGGCCCCGGTGAGGCAGTGGCTACACTGTGCTTACGAAAATTTGCGGACTATACGGATGCCCACACCTGTTCATCGATAGGAGCACCAAGGAGGAAGGGTGAAGGAGGAAGCGAAGAGGAGGTAGGAGGGAGGAGGTGACGAGGAAGGACGATGAAGGAGGCACAGGATGAACAGGAAGAAAACAGGGAGGAGGCAGAATCCTCGATCCACTTGTGATGCACGGCGTCCGTGGTGTATAATATTAGAGCACTCCAGGGTGCGGGGTCGAATGCGTCTAGATCTGTATACACATTCCTGGATGTAGGATGTAGGAGGCCCACGGTAGATCGGACGGCTGACATTGAAAAGTCCTCCCACGCAAAGGCCGCTCTTGTGTTGGGGCGGAACATTTTTTTCTGGCACGTGTCGCATTTCATTGCGACATTATCCGTCGAAACCAACAACGGAAAAAAATGTACGGTAAAGCAAATGGTAGCCGCTCTGGCTCCCTCGGGGGCAAAAAAAAACTGGAGGTAGAAGGCCCACTATGGGCAGTGGTATTCGAGAATTGTTATATTGCTGCTCGCTAGTCAACCAAGTGTCTACAAGACGTCAACACCACCCTCTCCGCATTCGGCCGACCCCCCTCTGGGGATGGCATGTTGTCCTCACCCGTGCCATGGGACACCCGGAGCGAACCACACAAACAACGGCGGCGGGCGGGTTCGGAGGCACCCGCTCGAGAACCTCCCCATCCAGGCCGCTGCCGCGGCGCAGGGGCCTGGAGAGGCCCATTCTGCGCGGCGTCGCCCGCGTGTGCGGGCCGACCACGTCTGGCTGGCCCCCAGGGGGGCGCGGGCACGGGCTGGCCCCGCGTGCCGAACCTCCCACAGCGGACCCCCAGAAGTCCGGACCTTTCTGCCCAACTCCTCCTCCTGCTCCTCCTCCTCCTCCTCCTCCTCCTCCTCCTCCTCCTCCTCCTCCACCTCCTCCTCCCCTCCTCCTCCTCCTCCTCTCCTCCTCCTCCTCCTCCCCCTCCTCCCTCCTCCCTCATCCCTCCTCCCTCCTCCCTCCTCCCCCTCCCTCCTCCTCCTCCCTCCTCCCTCCTCCTCCTCCTCCTCCTCCTCCAGGGCCAGTTGAGCGGCGACCCAAAAATGCGGGTCTCGCGCGAGGCGGCGCAGTGGCCCTTGCGCGGGGGCTCACTCGGGCCGCCGGCGCGGCAGGCCAACGGTGGAGGCGAGGGCGCTCGCGCGCGACCTGACGCGGGCAGCCTGCGCGCCGGCGTCGGCGATGACGAAGCCTCTTTTGTGCCTCGCTCAGTTCATCAGGGCTGGACCTAAACGTTGTTTTTCGTTTTGGTTTCGTCCTGTTTTTCGTTTTGCTCTCCCTGTCTTCCTGCACCTCCCTACCAAAACGAAAAAAAAAAAAACACGGTCGAAGTCCAGCAGAACAGCGCTTAGGTCCAGCCCTGCAGTTCATCAACCCGGCCTCGTGCGGAGGTTTCTAGGGAACCCAGGGCGCTGAGCATGGAGCCGCGACTTCAGACCGGTCCAGACCTCTCGAAGACGGTCACCTATTACCCTCCATGGAACCCGGTGCCATGCCATGACCATGCAGCGCGGCGTTGTGTTCTGTGCCGCTGCGCGATGCCATGTCTTGCTTTGCAATGTCTTGTCATGCAATGCTTCACTTCGCAATGCCACGCCGTGCTATGTCGAGCTCAACCATACATCGCGCACGCTCCTGGGATCATTGCCCTGCTCGACATCCGATTGCGAATGGGGAGGCGATCTACGCCGTGGTAAGGGATGGGAGGGAGGGGGAGGACGTCAGAAAGGACGCGAGCGCACCTAGCTTGTCCTCCTACCCTCCTCCTTCCCTTTATCCCCCCTCCCTCCCTCCCTCCCGCCCGCCATCCCTCGCCGCCTCGGCCTGGGGGCACCCGAGTGGGCCCCCACCCCCATCTCGCGCAGGGGGGCCCTCGGGCTGTGGAATCATGGACCCAGGCCCCGCCGCCACGCCAACAGCTCGGGCCGATCCTCACGGGCACGACCCTGCTTCCGAGCCGGCTGGCGCTCGGGCGACCCCCGTCCGCCTTCGACGGGCCAGGCTCTCTCCAGGCGCGGCCAGGCAGGAAGGAGGGGGAGGGAACAGGGAGAGAACCTCCAGGCGGAGAAGGCGGGCGCGCGGCTGGGGGGTCTGAACCACCCAGCCCCCCCCGTTAGGCGCTCGCGCGCCCGCCAGGAGCAGGCAGCGGGGCAGGTCCAGAGGAGGGGAGGGGGACTGACGGAAGCAAGGCGACAACGTGGCATCCCCTACGATTACACGGAGCAAGGAGGGGGAGGCGGAGGGGGGAGGAGAGCGGCCTCAGCGGCCGCGGCCAGCCAGTCGCTTGGGCCGGCGACCGCCATGGCCCGGCCCGCGGCCCCACGGCGCTCAGCAGCATGGCCTCAGTGCCGCTCCACCTCCTGCGCTGCGGTGCTTGCCGCCGCGGCCCTCCGGCGGCGGTCGGGGCCAGCGGGCGCCAGGGCTGCAACGATGCTGAAGTCTCAGCACACGCGCTCGCCTGGGAAAGCCACCACCACGTCGAGTACGGCATGTTGGATGTCCTCGACCGCGCGCTGGTCCCAGATTGGGATGCGCTGCTCGAAGCAGATCGCATTCTGCCCGTAGCACTGTGCGAGCCACTCGCCCAACGCGTTTCGCACGCCGTCGTGGCGACGCACGAACCGCCGCGGGCTACGATGCAGCAGGGCCTGCCACCAGTACCGGGTGGGCCCACGTAAAAAAGCCGACGTCGTAGTGCAGCTGCGAGCTCATTCTTCCCAAGCAGGTCCTGCGCTCGGGTAGGCGGCTCGAGGGCAGTGGACCCTGTTCCACCGTGGGGAACCACAAGCCCAGCTTCTGGCTCGGAGAAGCGGTGGAGGAGCCCGCAGCGCCGGCGGCCCACCAGCTGTCCGGTGTAGGTATTCTGCTTAACTACGCACGGGCGGTCCCAGGGCACCCACCCATCGTGGTCACGGAGCCTGGCCTTGGCCTCGGACACCGCGGCCGTGAGTTTCGGCGTCACTCCCTCCCTCCCTCCCGCCCTCCCTCATTTTTCATACTCCCCTTCCTCTTCTTCTTCCTCCTCCTCCTCATCCTCCTCCTCCTCCTCCTCCTCCTCCTCCGCC